TCGAGAGAGAAAATGAGATCAGTATCAGCACCGCTCGGAAGGGTCCATATGGATCTATGGGGGCCGATCAGTCATCATTCAAAACAAGGAAATCGATATATACTATCGATAACAGATCAATATACAGGTATGATCTGGATGTATTTCCTAACAAACAAATCACAAGCTAAGGGCAAAGTTCGTGAATGGATTGATACTGTAGAATCTCAAAGACGCCGTTGGGGTAGTAGTGAGAAAGTGAAAGCAATTCGTTTTGATCGCGGAAGAGAATTCTTGAATACGGAGTTTATGAAGTGGTGCGATGGCGGTGATTTTGCAATAGAGCCAACAGTTGGATATCACCCAGAAGGTGATGGATTCGTGGAGCGCAGTATGCGCACAATAATGGAAAAGGCGAATACAATAAGATTTGGAATGAAAATGGAGCTGGAATTCTGGCAACTTGCCGCCTGACACTCAGTTTATGTTCACAATCGTCAGCAAGTCAAGGATATGGAGCTTTCACTTTGGTAACAATGGAGTGGGAAGAAGCCAAGTGCGCTGCAATGGAAGGTATTTGGATGCCCAGCATGGGTATATATACCAAAAGAAAAGAGAAAGAAACTGGATCCAAGGGCTTGGGAAGGTGTTTTTGTTGGTTTGAAAGAAGAGTCGGAAAAGATCTTTCTACTATAGAGTTCAAAGGAAAATAGAGTAATTGAAGCGCGTTTTGTGAAATTCGATCAGACGGTCAATGGCGCAAATAATAGCGATCTAATTTCTTGGGAGCAGATAATTGGAGAATCGGAAATGGGGGATAATGAGGCTAATGATGATGAAGATGATTCGGGCAACGATTTGGATGAAGATTGCGAAATTAATGACGTAATGAGTGGTGATGGCACAATTGAGAATGAAGTTGGGGACTTGCCAAACATCAAAAATTTTCAGCCAATGAGAGCGATGATTCGACATTAAGCGAGCTCACAGACCTCGTTAGTTCGACATTAATGTCGAACGAGGAAGGAAATACAAGCTTTGTGCCCCAAACCTCAATACATCAACCAACGCAACGACAGACAGCTGCAGAAAAAAGGGAGACTAAAGCAGAACTCAAACGGCTATGACAAGATGAAATCGCGAAAGAATCCGCGGCGCAGAGGCAGCAAACGAGAGGTGATGGCCGAAGACGACGTGAACAGGTTAATGTGATGAAAAACGAGCAAGGTATTCATAAAAGAGTGATCTACAAAGAACTTACATTTAAGCAGGCAATGGACCTCCCAGACAATAAAGAATGGCTTAAGGCTTTCAAAATTGAGATGGATAACATCATTCGAAACAAAACACTCTCCAAGCCCATCGATGCATTACCAAAGTGATTTGAAGCAATATCAGCAAGATTAGTATTTGATGCCAAAACTGACGAAGATGGCAGATAATAAAATATCAAGCTCGATTGGTAGCAGGAGGTTTTTCGCAGATCCACGGTATCGATTATGAAGAGACTTTTTCGCCCGCAATTGGTATGGAAGGGTTACGAATAATTGTGGCAATTGCAGCGAAACACGGATGGAGAATCATCAAATGGATGTTGTTGCAGCATTTCTAGCAGCAGACTTGACAGAAGATATCTTTCTTGAGGTTCCAAAAGAGGCACGACATTACTTCGGAAGATTTGTGAAAGTACTAAAGAGTCTTTATGGGCTGAAGCAGGCAGCACGATTATGGTACTTGTTACTGTCAGGATTTCTCAAAGCTATAGGATTCACAGAATCCACAACTGATCCAACAATATTGACCCAAAAGGCGACTGGCGTGGTGGTAGGATTGCATGTCGACGATATGCTTATTACAGGTGCCAATAAGAAAGCCATTGATACTGTGAAAGCTCAATTGAAAAGTCGATTCGAAATGAAGGACCTTGGGAATGCGGAGAATGTTCTAGGAATTTGTATCAAACGTCAACCAAATGGTGCAATTTCTATTGATCAAGAAAAGTATGCGAGAGGAATTGTTCAAGAATACCTCTACAAGGACTCGCTACTTTATGCTACACCAATGGAGAAGGGAGCTGTCAATGATTTAAAGGAAAATCCAGGACGCAAATTGAACGAAGGGGAGAAGAAGAAGTACGTTCAACTCTTAGGTAAACTTATGTGGCTCAACAATACACGCTTTGATATTGTTTTTGCTGTCACTAGAATGGCATCATTCGCGACGGAAGCAGGCTGGAACCATTGGAAGGCACTTCTAAGAATCGTCGGATACATTTCTGGCACAGTCACATTTGGTACAACATATGGGAAAAAGGATCATAAGGGAGATCCCCCAATTGAATACTATACTCTGAACCATGGTGTTGAAGTATATTCTGGGTCAGCACAGCTGAATGACGAGATGGGCTACGCCGACGCAGATTATACTGATGGCCAACGGGATTGAAAAAGTATACTTGGGTGTGTTTTGATGCTAAACGGAGGTATAGTCCACTGCTCGAGCAAAAAAAATGCATTCTGTAGCTAGATCAACAACTGAGGCTGAGTATGTTGGAGGTAGTGAGGCGGCCAAGAAGATGATCTGGTTAAGAAGACTGGTCGTAGAAATTGAAGGCAAAGACTGCGCTGGTAGCGCCGCACCGATGTTGTTGGGTGACAACAAATCAGCGATTCAACTAGCGTCAGGAGTATCAAACACTTCAAAAATTAAGCACATTGATATTGCGTACCACCATATCCTCGACGAAGTAAAGAAAGGTACGATTTCAATACGGTGGGTACTAGGTGAGTGGCAATTAGCCGACGGAATGACAAAGGCATTGGACAGGGCTAAGTTTGAGGCCAATCTACAAGTAAATGGGATTTCAAGCGTGATTACAAACCCTGAATAGCTTCACTCTTGGCAATTTGCGAGTTTTAGGGGAGTGTTGAAATATAGGGCTAATCCTAGTGATCAGGATTAACATGTGTCCTTTATGATGTTCAGACCCACTATTGTACTATATATGTAGCGAAGCTCCCCGAGCCCTCCATAGAAATTAGTTGAACCAGTATATTCTTTTGACAAAATTGGCTAGGCAAATAGTGACGAACTTGTGACACTCAAAATGCCCTAAACGCTACGCCAATCTCGAACTCGAGATGCGACGCAACAAACCGCCAGAACTAGCGCTTCCGAGAGCAGTTTACGCCCGCTTGATCGCCACCCGAACAGGACATGGTGACTTCCCGGCGCACCAGCACCTCTTTAATTACACAGCGGTCACATTCCACTGTGAGTGTGGTAGAGAATTCAATCGGTTACCTCGTCCAGTATAGAAAAGCACTCGCGACATGGCGACTGAATAGCGGAAGACGAAGGGTACCAGCTCTGGAAACGATGCTCGGATCAAATGGATGGCAGCTGCTCAGGGATTACGTCCAGGAGAGCGGGATTTACGCGTAGGCTAGTCGGGGGATGGCAGGGATACCTGTGAATCGGAGGTGATAGAACGGAAGTCTAGGTGGTTTGGCATGGAAAGAGGGATAGGAATCGAGGCTCAGGCGCGTGGTGGCTGAGGCGGAACGATAGAAGGGAGATTGTTTAAGTTTTTCTTCTGTAATACGGGATTTTGCGTGGAAGTTTTCTTTTATTTTTGATTCTGGGCTGCTATACTTGTCACGGTTGAACACATAGATACGTTTCGGCATGGTTCCGGTCATTTAGGTTGGACGAGACATTTGCACTTTATGGTAGCTAGCCTGATCCGGCCCGGCCCCACTCGTACTCAAGCTCCAGTAGGAGTGCAATGAGTGTCACTTTACCTACCAAGTCAATGAATAAATTAACAAACATCGATGTTCTACCTCGCTTAGGTAAAAATATTCTATTCTAATAATGTGATAAAGTAAGGTTTCCATCACCAAGACCATTACCAACCGAGACCTCACCAAGACTGCTAGCAATCGAAGAGTAGTCTTAATATACTCCTTATTGCGTGCAATTCGGTCTAGTATGTCTAGATTTCAACATTAGCTCCAGTTTCAATTGGACTAGCTTCTGGATGAGGCTTTTTTCGGAAATCATCTTTATACTGGTGAGACTTTGATTTAGCATGGAGTGTCTACTCATTGCCTCGTAGGTCAACTTCTTCGACATAGCGAAATTTGATTGAACTTGGCTCTAGGAGAATATTTAATTTCCAAGTTCGTAGGGGACACTGCGTATAGGTGTTTATTCTATCCCCCCATCACATTGGTCTTAATCTGCATTCATAAGATTCACAATATGCAGTGACTTGTTGATAGATTCGACAATCTGAAGTTCCCTCGCTACCACTAGCCCGGATTGCTACAATACTTTAGCAAGGATCTAGGAATTACATCCAGAATAGTCAAACCTAAGCTTGACCACAGATCTTGGATCTATTACTATAAACGCAACAATTTTATTATTAATGGAAAACTTGGGTCTCAATGTACTCAAGTATGATAAAGTTGACTTGTGATTCGCTAATTTAAAGACTCGTGAGCTAGCTTGAAGCTTGTGGGGGTTTAACAGTTTTTCTAGCACTATTCATGACTCTTTGATTTCTTCGGTTTACCGCCCAGAATTAACGATGAGAATCGGGTAAAAATAGGTACCAAATTTTCGTACGTTATCTGACTTGTTGGAGAGTCCTACAGATTGGCTCAGTTATCCCTTAGATTTATATAGAAATAGGTACATGAGCTTATGGGATGAGCGTTGGTTATACAATTTTGGCCATGCTTTAACTCATTTCGCTTTTTTTAGAATTTAGGTGTAGAACTATACTCTAGATAAATTTGCGCGTTCAGTAACTAGGGGAAAGAATTTTCTATGAACCACTAGAAAGGTATGACTCTTGAAGGCTACTGCCTAAAAGTTACCTATGTAACTAATATTTCGGCCCTTTTTATTGTTTCTTGCAGTTTGTGTGGGTGATAAGTGCTTCACCATTTTGAAGTTGAAGTTGGATATTTTCTTGTTTCTTTTCATGAACGCTGTTGAAAGTAATATCTTTAAGTTTCTACTCTTGATGCTATGTTCGGTAGTGGTAAGGGGCCACCAGGAGAGTTTGGGAATCTAGCTGTCAAAATTTCAACCCCATCTGAAGTTACCAGCAGTGTGTGCTCTATTGCTAGTTAGTTTGATCCCACTAAAGTTCTACTTAACCTATCCTACCAAATTGCGCGGTCCGTTTCCCGTCTTGTGTGACACTTGTCCAGTTGTCTGGCCAAGTCTTATCTCTATGCGTCCCCAAAGCAACCATAGGTTCAATTGTAAAGCACATCCCCTCCTTACAAGTTCCTACCACCTTATTTTTTGCATAATGTGGGATATTAGGGGGACAGTGAAAGAGTGTGTTAATTCCATGCCCACAGTAGGTTTTAACAACGCTGCATTTCTGAGATTTGGCATGAGTTTCGATTATATTTCCAAATTCTCGAAATGGTGTTCCTGGCTTAACTAGAGTGATAGCTTGCCTAAGACACTCGCGTGATGCCTCCACAACACGAACTGAGTCAGGATCAGCTTTGGCTTTATCACCGATATAGTAGGTTTCGTTCAAGTCACCATGGTACCCGCCGTGGTAAAGTGTGACATCAATGTTCAGAATATCGCCGTCAACAAGTACATACTGATCCGGAATCCCGTGACAAATTACCTCATTGGGTGAAGTGCACACTGATTTAGGGAATTGGCTGTAATTTAATGGCGAGGGATATGACTACCAGGTTTAGTGATATGTTAGATAACTATTGGATTCTTACATCTCTCTCTACACATGCGTTGTGGACGATTTCATCGATGTAGTCCGTGGTAACACCAGGCTTAGCGGCTGCGGCGGCAATATCAAGAACTTCTCTAGCTAGCCTACACACCTTTCTCATAGCCTCTTGTCCAGCTTTGTCTAAAATTTCGATCTTGGTTCGGCCGGCAAGTGTTCGTTCACTGTGTGGTATACCGTCCCTCCAGTAGTCTGGATGCTTGATGGACTGGGGCACATGTCTTCGCTGGGATAAAGGATAGATAGGGCGAAGTGGACCTGTGAATGAAAAGGTGGGGAATGGATTGTAATTACCGGTTTCTGGATCTGGTTCAGAGACCACATTGGGCGCAAAAAAGGTTTTGAGATAGTTACCCTTGACTCTGTGAAGTAATTTATGTGTATTCTAGCTACGTATTAATCGGAGGCCCTCAAAAAAACGTGCAGGTTTTAGACACTTACCCAACTCTGCTTGAAACAATCTTGAGAGCAGAAGTAAACTTCCTTCTTTCCTAGCTTCAGACATGTTGGGCATTGCAGAGTTCCTACAGCATTTTGACAATTATTACCTAAGCACTTTCTCTTTGTTGGTGGCTCGAGGGCCATTTTGAGCACAGAGCGAAGAATAATATGAGCTGATGACAGATCCTAAGTCGACAAGAGCTCTAAATTGTGTAGATAATCATAGTTGATCGAAATCCTCGGCCCGTAAAATTCCTAGTTTGGAAACCACTGTGGAGCAAACTTTTCTGACCGCTCGCTACTGGCGCTTGCTGTTCAAATAAAACGCTATGAAGTTGCACCATCCTTTGCAATCCAGATAGTACGCTCATGATTATGTATGTAACACGTACTGATAAAAAGAAAAGCCAAGCCGCACGATATTGCTACTAATGCCTTGCTCCATGCGTCATGACACGCGATCATTTCATAGTCAAACTATAATGGGTAAGATAATATGACCGCAATTCAAAAATATGCCTGAGGACAATGAACGAACATCATTTCGTGATGTGTTCTACGAATCCGGAGATGAAATATTTTCCTAGAGCTAAGTTCAATCAAATTTCACAATTCCGAAGAAGTTGGGCCACGAGGCAATGATTCAATACTCCTAACCAAACCAACATCTCACTCTCAATAAGGCCGATTCCGGCCAAAGCCTCATGAAGTCTGCAAGTACGACTTAGTACACCCTTATTCTAATGACCACGCTACTCATCAAATCACCTTCTGGCCTACACATACACACCCACAAGGGTTTAAGGCCTATCGCAGGTGAGAAATTGCGATGCACAAATCAAGGAGGTGGATTTTCGGAATTGGGGTTCGAAAGATATGGGAAGGTGGAAAATATTATACTAATAGTGGACATAATAACGAATGATGTGAGATTTTGAGATATTAAGCTTTGTGCACGCCAAGGCTTATATTGAGAGAGTGGAAGCGACACTTTAAATACAGCCATGGTCAGATGGTGCTATGGTGCATCGTCTTGACCGGTCTTCTCAGTAGATTCTGGGTAGCTTGAACACCTACCCCATTTGAGACAAGAGAAAGCTTGTTCGAATACAGTAAAACCCACACACCAATCTCTATCGCGATAAATTGTGTTTGTAGGATGATAAAAGCACACTCAGATAACCATGGGGATTTGACGCTATTCCCTGTTGTGGGTATGCACGGATGAGGTTATACGCCGTAAGGGTTAACATCGAGTCGTATCTGCAAATGAAATGTGAGTGAGTGTTTTAAACGTCAATTTGTGTCATCCTACAGAAAGTACATATCTTCCGATAAAAACCTGCAATGGCCCCAAGACGCCAAAGCAGGACAATCGAATAGTTTATTCATTTAGTAAAAGATAAAACATAGCCTTGCATTGAAAAATTCCTCAGCATTCTGATTTGGTTCTGCGCCATTATCGATTTACCTTTAGGAAGCAAACTTACACTGTTTCTACCAGAGTAGACTCTGTCCATATACTGCCTTGTTTTTTCCCCTTTGCCTGATTAAAGCCTCAGCTTCCCCAATCCGCCGAAATTTATCTAGCAATCATTTCTTTTGAATTCGCTCAAATGTAGCCATATCTTTGACTTCATTTATCATAGATTTGAAAGATTGGGTTGTAGGCTTTCGTGACATTTTAAACCATCCCTTAATCCACTTTGGACAAGACACCACCTTTACTTGAGGTTTGGGGTCTGACATCCATATCGGCACCATGAGTTATCTGTCACTGGAAATTTTATTTAGTACGCCTAAGCGATTTCCTATGTTGTCACTTTTCCCATCTGATGCAATGTCATCATGCTCCCTGCTAAAACTTCGGTGGGTTTGAACAGATGTTTCTCTACAATTAATCACAAACTTACCTGCTATCGTCTCTGTATACAGATATGCTTCTTTCCATCTATGGGCATAGCTTATATTTATTGATACAAATATTAAAATCACTCCTCTTAGCCGACATAAAAGATTTGTTCATTACACGAATCAAACAAAAGGTTGATAATGTTATAACATATTCATTTAGTCTTTAAAAAATCAATTTCAGTCTATCTCTTTATGACTACTTCTATCGTTCAATAGGATCCCTATGTAATGTGATAAGCAAATTTTGTATCTGTGTAGCAGCGTGCAATGTATGTACTTGGCTCCAGTTCTCAACCGATTATGCATAGTTTTGGTCGTCTACCATAGAGCGCTTGTATCCTAGCACTTTACCCTTTAATTTGAAGGCTAAAAGATTATTTTTTCGTCACACAGGTATAATTTTGATGTGATATATTGTTTCAACAGGTACCATCAAATTGTGGGTAAATATCTTTCCTTACTCATTATCTTCGAGATTTGAGCAGTACTGAGGTAAAATATTTCTAGAACCAGGTAAATTGGTGTTAATAAAGAAGTTCGAAAATAAGATATAGGGGTTGAAAATTTCACATACCTTACAAAGCAACGGACCATGAAAGTACCAAATAATTTAGCTTTGAGAGATTTTGCCGTCGTGCATGTTATTTTAAGCTGGTGGAACTTCCAGGTCAATAACATAGTTCTCAAAAGTATCAGGCTGATGCTTGCGATTTGATTCCACCTTAGGAAGACCGGAGGTGAAATTCCAGCGATCAGCATCAAATTTTCTCTCTTCAAGGCGACCACCATACTGATGCTTGTTCGTTGGATGTAGAGGTTTCTCGAATTTTGGTGGTAAAGCGATAACTTCGTTATTTAATCCGAAAAGAGCTAAAGCGAATGATATATTGAAGATGGCGAACTTCATACTGCTGTCCTAGGAGTAGAGTCGACAAATAAAAAATATCGGAAACTGTTGAGTCTTGTGCGTTATGAGTTGATCTGGAATGATTGAAATATTTTCAGGGCCGGTGGTGTCAGATTTGTCTTGTCATATATAGGTCATCCTTATTTCAAACTAAATCATTCTCCCTGTGTCGATATTTAAGCCTGTTATCCATCTAGTTTAGGCTGATTATGTTGAAATATATCTCTCGCCACAGCCCTTTTGTGGGATGTCTTGCGGGGTTTAGATCACAGCCAAGGGTGAGGCTGTTTGCAGCCGTAAAGACTATCGTTGCATGCTACTGGTTAGATTTTATGTGGTGTAAGAGATCGATAAATGATTGCTGGATAATTGGTATTATTAGATATAAATTCCCTCTTTGTAGGGTACTACTGTTTGTCACATGAAATATCGGAATGTGAGCCTAGTGACTCTAACGCTATATTACTTCGTCTGGCTATACTATCCGAGCGAAGCCTTCATTTCGCTAGCTCATTCGATTCGCCACCCAAAATATTGTACTGCAATTTTGTAGCCACTAAATAGCAAGGATAAGATTAGTGCTTGTAAAAGTGATTTTACGAGGAGCTAGCTTATCTTCTGTTAGATGAAGTTGTTAATGCTGAATGCCTTGCAAAGACGACCATGGCCCTTTAATCAAATTTTAATGTTTGCATTCATGAAATTATTTGTAGTTGAGCTCGAGTTAATGAAGACAAGGCAGAGCATTTCTCTCATCTGCGGCAGGTTATGACGGAAATTCGATGGCATCGTCAGACTAGACGAGCACAAAGCTCTGACTCCAACTCGGGATGGGTCCCAGTCTAATTAGTCAAAGAATCAAGTTTTTCCGTGCCGGCAGCTGGTTGGGTCCTAGCTTCATGATTGTAAACTCAGTGGTCACATCATGTTTAATCTCACCACTAATCCAATGCTCATTGTAGGAATCCATACTAACCGTCCAGACCCGTATCCAATAGCAAGGCTTCACATCCACCATAGTCTCCTAGCCAGATACCTGGTTCACAACGGGCCAGAAGATGACTTGCAATTTATACCAATGCGTCGCCTCAGCTTCTCTCTGTTTGATAGACGGCTTCTTTGGTGGCAAGTTTTATGTTTCCTCTGCTCCAAGGCAGAGCCTCGGCAGGGTTTCGACAGACAAAAAGGCCAAGAAAAACCGAAGTCATCTCTTTATTAATGATCAAAGAGAGGGAACTGTCGAATGCCTTAGCAGCACAAGACTGTATATAGGCGCCTTACATCACCATAGGATATAGCCAATGGGAGGAAGTTAATGCAGCCTGATCGGATCACACAGAGGTTTGTGACATGGTCTTTGATGGGTATCGTGGCCATGGTCTTGCGAGCTGACTTCACATGAAATGTGAGTTTCCGGTGGAAGAAGGGGTTTGATATAACGTCTTGTTGATGAACATAACCACTTCAAGATAGAGAGAATAACAGGACATCTTTGCTTAAACCTAGTGCAAGATCTCATCTCAAAAGGGGCCCGAACTTCCGAGTTGAACATACAGGACTTCCGGAGCATGACAATACCTCATTAACCCGTAGAATTGACGTAGTTTGGGCGACTATTTCCTCAGATTCTCTGTTTGAAGGTCACTGAAATCCCGCGATAGATGCAGCGTGCAAATATCTCAGACGAGTGAGATCATGGCGTAGGACTGACACACGACAGTGGAGATATCTGGAGGGAATAATCCGTTTGTAGAGTTATTTCAAAAATTTATTGTACTCAGTCGTTGATGTACCGAAACTGTTCCATTCGGGTAACCCGATGAGTGTATAGAGAACGAGATGATCACCTTCGTAGCACAATCAAGATCCTCAAGACGACTTTTCTAGAAAGGGTCTGTCTTTCTCCCACGTTTGATATCTCCCCTCACTACCACACGTAAGCATCACTAAAACGATCCATAAATATCAGAGTTTGTTGTCCAGCCAAATTCCCTGACGAGCGTCTTCAAATGAAGATCTTACCATAATGGCTCATAGCAGAATTTAGTTTTATCGTCTTTCAACATCTGGACTGTTTCTTCTATCGTTCTTCCACCAGCTTGGATCTAACCGCGCGGTAAAATCCCTGAGCCAGTCGAAGCTCGTTAGATTAAAGAAACTACTGAACTGCAAACTTGAACCGAGATGGGTTAGGGTTAAGCTCTAGAACGTGTTTCCTCTCGGGAACAAGTTGTAGAGTCTATGGGAAAAAGTCCGCTTGGTTTATAGGAGCTAAATATGAGCGAGAGAAGCTTCGATGTCGTAATGGGGTAAACTGCTAGCATCGACGAGTCGTGAACTTGGTATGGCATTGTAGATTCTGGACAATTGAATGAAAATCCTCAAGCTGGTGCATTTAGGAATCTGGGGTAGTTAACAAATCGAGCTTAACAGTCAGTCTTTTTGGATATGTAGGGTTTGTTGGGTAATGTCGAAATGCAACGGCCTAAAACTTTTATCTACTCTCAAATAATAGTCACGTGGCTATCGATTTCGCGTGAATCTTGGAATTTTTAGGTCCTTATCCACAGCTCTATGACAGATTTTGAATAAAATAATTGAGTTTTTGACAAAGAAGGATTGATATAGCTATATCTTAGCGGTGGATACAGGACCGGTGGGGCTAGCGGGTAACTCCGCTTATAGACCCAAAATATTCGCACCACAGGAGCTCCCATTAGAAGCGTCAACATTGGCAAAAAACTGCATCAAAAACTGAAATCAAGATTCAAAAAAATTATAAAACTAGTTGGCCGGCATACGAATATTGAAAAGTGGAGTGGATAATTAGAAACAGTATAAATTGAATTGACCAATCTGAAATCTATGAGAGCTAATTTTAATAAGAATCCTATTAGAATAAGATTCTTGTATACGAGTGGTACGTAAGTACTGGAAGTAGAATTGAAAAAGTATTGAGTTAATCTATCGTGTGTGATTCTCGCGATCACAGCATCCTTCAATGCTGCGCCCATACTCCTATTAATATGTGTCTGCCAGCCTCGTCTATGCGCTAATACGGAACTACTAATACAGGGTATCTAAGATCTCCAAACGCCTTACCCTCTATACTTCTAAGTAAGTAATAAATACAACCATAACTCCATTATGTTCAGGCACAGGAATGATTATGTTTGACCAACAATCTTATAATTCAACAAATCCATTTATTTTTCGTCCACTTCGAGGGCACCAACATCATTTAACCTCATACACGTTCTGTTATCGTCGATTTTAACCCCGTGAGTCTGAAACTTGAGGAATTACAAGATATAAATCCTTCAGAGTCCTAGGTTTTCCGAAGCTGACTCTAACATTATCTAGCTCATACGTACATCAATTTGTTACAGAGAGGTGACTAGATTGCTTTCAAGTCTCAAGGCTTCATGATAGACGAAATTTTGAGCATTGTTTTGTAATGATTACAATTGTTTACATATTATTTTGAATCTAAGCAGAAACAAACCTCGGAAGCCTCTGCAGTTAGCAACTGCAGATTCTGTAACTTGGAGAGCATCCAAATTTTACCAATGAAGAAAGTCTAGACGGCAAAAACTGAGTTTTAAAGGCTCACCATTCTTTCTACATCGTAGCCCGACAAGGGCCCAAAGCAGTTTGGCAATGCAAATACGAAGTGAGCACATGGGGCTTAACTCGTATTTACACAGAAGAAAAGTACCCGTCGTATTAAGTCCAGGTTGCCCATGTGGCTACCTGTTAGACTCTACGAGCCAATTGAATAATGAATGAAGTAAAAGTAAAAAGTGTCAATTAATTCCTGGCTGCCATTTCTCTTACTGATACTATCTAGATTATGTACGTCTAGAAAATGGCAAATGCTCTTTGTGTCCCTAACTTGTCCCCATGGACCAAGTTTCTCATGGTTTAGAACGAAACATCTCTAGTAAGAAGATATAGAGTTCCCATTGCTACAAACCAAGCGTAACACCTTTGTCCGAAACAAGTAACTCCAAGCTTTGCAAACCTAACATCTTCAACTCTTTATCTCACATTGGTCGTTTCCAAACTATCCACAGTTTGATACTACCAATCACAAAACCCAAAGCATATGATTATGGCCTGCCCCCGATGGTCAAATGGTAGAGCTGAGATCTGGAGATAAGCCAAAGATCAGTGCTATAAAGCGATGATAAATAATCCTGAATGTTGAAATTATGGAGTGCAGAGATAAGTCAGGTGATGTTTAATGGAAGTTATTGATGAAGGGGGGGTTTTTTTTATTATATTAAATTCCTAAGCTAAAGCTCTAGGTCCACTACAGGTACAAGACTGGTGGAGCCGGCGGGGATCACTGCTTACAGGCCCAACTCATTCCAACCGCTGGACTTGCTACAGAAATAGTAGGAAGTAAATTACGACGCGGACACCACCTACTCCAAATCCCAGATCAAAAATCATTCCTTTGCCCTAAATCCAAATCGCTACAATCTTTCCTCAGAGAAACGACACTTCTCTCCTCGTTTACTTTCTTGTCATGTGTTGTGGCAATGACTAGTTAATCTGATCCCCGCTGAGAGCAGTGGATGAGTGAGCAGGTCGTCTATCAAAACAGCCGGTTTCCTGCGCAAATGTTTTGAAGCTTTCGTGGCATTTGGGCCCGAGAAGCTTTTTGATAAATTCAACGTGGGACATTGACTTCCTGAGCCTACGCGTGTGTTGTGCGTGGCGGCTACAGTGGATGAAGTGGGTTGAAGTAGTTTCCTTTCCGCAAGAGCACTCCATAGGAGCGTGTAGGTTATTAAAACGGCGATTGTATGCCGCAAAATTGCCGTGAAATTGCCGTGACCCGTTCGGGCTGCAATTAATTCTCGGAGCAGGTGCC